ATTTTACTATATATATATATATTATTTTTATTTTGATAGGTAACTTCAAAAATATTTTGTAAAGATAATAATGAAAATATTTTTTTTTAAGATGTATATAATTAACGTGTAGCATCTTTAAATTTTTTTAGGGGGAAAATGTTTATAAGAAGGGAAGGAAGTGTAATATTTACATCTCCGAAGGAATGTGGTGTAAAGGATGTTTTGGTAATAATTTATTTTTTTGTAATGGAAGTTAACAAAATTTTAACGAAAAATTTAAAAAATGGGTAAAATATTATATATTAGAATTTGTCGAGGAAAGGGACTATAATTTTTAGCATAAGAAAGGAGGGTAATTTAATATTTGTATATTTCAAGAGAGAAAGGTATAATTTACTCAAAAATATAAATTTAGGGAATGTTCAATGCTATTAATTAAATTAAACAAATTTTTAATAATAATGAATTAAGTAATTGATTCTTATTAAAAGAAATAGATAGAGAATTTATCATTGATTAAATTACATCGAAATTTCACAACGGTTAAAACAAATAACTCATGAATTCATCATTAGGGTTCACTAGTAATAATTACATCACAACCATAAAAAAGGTAAACTAGCTAGACATGTTGCTAGAACCTATTAAACAGTAATTGAAAGAATTCTTCTTTAAGGGTTTGACTTTTAGTTTCTTACAGAACCTCAATAACAAATACAAGAAAGCAAAAAATATAGAAAATAAAGTCAATAGTTGGGTGATAAAAACTTGGTTTGGAGCTCCCTATTTACCGTCAAAATTATAGTGGGTTTTTAAATACGATCGTAACAAATAACATGACTTTGCTTCATTACAATTAGGAAATACGAACGTGCTTATGGACAAGCATGTGCTTCCTAGCACAAGCATGCTTTTATCCTGGAAGATTTACTCTGGAATGCCCTGACTTAAATCATTTAGAGGTGTTGTTTTGTGATAAATTGAAGACATTTCAAAATCAACAAGAGCCACAAACCTCTACTTCAGTTAATAAGCAACCCCTTTTCTCGGAAGGAAAGGTTTGTAACCAAATCTGCTTTTATATTTTGTTTTTTTTAAGTTATATTCTATTTCCTATTTCTCACCCCTTGCCCCTTGGTTGTCATTTTGTTCTTCCCTTACTAGACTAATTTCGTTCTGGAGTCACTGAAGCTCGATTGGGAAAACGCTAGGATGCTATTGCTATGCAACAAAAATTTTGAGAGACATGCTTCATAAATTAGTTGAACTTGAGCTGGATTTTAAAGATGTCCAGGAGGTACCGAGTTTTCTCGTTGAGATACTTGTGAACGCATCCAATTTAGAGTGTCTTAAAATAAGTGGATTCAGTTTTCTTGAGTTGTTCCCCTCTCAACCTGAACAAAGTGAGTGTGACACCACAGTGCACAGACACTCGACGACCTTGTCCCTTGTCTGTCTGCACAAGTTATGTGTTTCCTCGTTTCCTCGTTTGACAACATTAGTACATTCTGCATTGTCATTCTCCAATCTAAAACAATTATCTATAAAAGATTGCCAAGAATTGAAGTACTTATTTACATCCTCAACTGCAAGAACGTTAGTTCATCTTGAAGAGATGTCCATAATGCAATGTGAATTAGTGGAAGTAATATTGGCAAAAGGGCTAGAAGAAACTACTTCAGAGGTGATAAGATTTGAGCGACTCAACACTATAAATCTAGATTCCTTATCAAGCCTGTCATGTTTTTATTCAGGCAGTGACACACTGCTATTATCATCTCTGATAAGAGTGATCATATGGGAATGCCCCAACATGAAGATTTTCTCCCAAGGAGTCATAGATGCCAAATTCTTTTTGGGAATTCAAGTCTCGTTGGATCCAAATGAGGATTTGTTCTTCTACCAAGATCTTAACACCACTGTGAAGGGGATGTTCCAACGACAGGTAAAAACTTTATTCGAATCAATCCATTATTACTTCAATTATGGCATGAATGCAATGTTTTTTACCATTAATTTTATTTAGAAAGTTTTCAATATATTGCAAAAGACTCAATAACCTCCATGTATCATAGATTTATCAACTGAAAATTGAAATAAAAGAGCAAAAACAATCTTAAATTACCTCTTAAGTAACACTTCTTTATGGTCTTTAGATTGACGTTAATGGAATTCACTCTCACTCTAGCATAAAGGACAAGAAGAAGATACTTCCTTTTTATTTCTATTATTGATTATTGATACGAAACTATACGAATTTGGAATAGAAAAGCCATGCACTAACGACTACAAAAAATGATACTATTTTCCTGAGCAATATTGATTGAGGATAATTGAGTGCAGTAAATGAAAATAATGCAACCATGCATGTAAGAAGAATACTGGTCGCATACTAATGAAGATTTGATAGGTATATAAACTTAAGAAAATCAAAACATTCAATTGCAAACATGTGCATTGATCATTTCAAGTAATAAAGTCAAGTGATACGTAGAATATTAGTACATGGATAATGTGGCATATACCAAATATTAATTTAAACTATTCGAGCAAAGAAAATAAATTGATCGGGGAGAAAATAGTTGAAAATATAGAATTGTTCCTAATGTTATTAAATAATTGTTATGGTGCGGCCATAAAGGTATAACATGGCGTTTTTGAACCCCTCCGCCATTCGTTATCCATCATTTCTCGTTATATGGCACTATCCGCCATATCCACCATGGTGCCTGCCATATCCATCATGGCCATGGCTTCATGGTGCTTATGGTGTTATATAGCTCATAGATGGTTTTTTCTCAGCATTGACAAGCCTAAGTATTTTTATTAGAGGCGTCATGACTTTAAGTATGTACACTACATTCTTCCAAAAAGAAGGCATTAAAACAATTTTACATGTTTCTCTTCCTTTTGCTTCCTTTGATAACTTGTTTGAATTTCACTCATCTGAAACAAACATCTTTTTTCTTAAATTTGATTTTTCTTGGTGGATCATTTCCAAAGAAACAAAAGATGTTGCAAATCGAGTCACCGCATGCCTCACTAGCTCCCTTTTGTTTATATAAAACCTTAACAAACTTAGGGTGTTTGAATGGCTATAAATGAAGCCAACAAGAGAAATTGTTCGTTAAATTGTTTTCTTGATATTGGGAAGCTTCCCAATGTCCTCCAACATTAAATTTATGCAATGAGCTGCACATGGAGTCCAAAAAATTCTTTTTGTTTTGCCTCCAACATCGTGTCAGCAAGAATATAATTACTCTCATTGTCCATGATGACTTAGACAACTTTTTCCTCCCTAATATCCTCTACAATAGAGTCTAGCAATTCAAATAGCTTCTCTCCGGTCTTCACAAAATTAGACCCATCAACAGATTTGATGAACATTGTCCGTACAAAAGAGTTCACCAAAAAATTAATAATGCATCTTTGCTTCTTGTTCATCCAAGCATTTGACATGATGGAACATCCAAAACTAACCCAATGTTCCTTTCAACTCTTCATTAATTTTTTGGTATACTCTATCTCTTTTTGGAGAAGTGGAACTCTTATCTCATGATAAGATGGAGGTCACAAATGCGGTCCAAAAGATCCAATAGTTGTAACCATGTCATGAAAGCTCTCCAATTTGATCATGTTAAAAGATAGTCCAGTTTGAAACCAAAACCGGGCTATATATTGGTGGACCCGTGTTGTAGCTTCCTTGTCACAACGCTCCCTTATACTTATTTGTTTTAATTTCTCCTTCTTGTTTTTTGCAATTGTTATTTGTGGACGTTTACAAAAAAGGTCAATAGGCCCCTTTTTCATAGCAACCTTCTTCCTTTCACCGGTCCCAAGTGTCTCAACTTCTAATTCTCTTAGATCTCCCTCCAATATTAGTCTTCACTACCAAAAGTCACATCTTCCATTATTCTTTGGCATGACTCACTTTCTTTCATCTTCTTATTTTTCTTAAGTGCCCACAACTCATCTTTAACCTCTTGTGGAACACTTTGACAAGGTGCAACATTTCTCTTCTTTCCCATTAGATGTTGCTTTGCTCTTATAATTCCTCCTTTCATGATTTTTTTAGAATAATTATAAACAATTTCATTTGTATCATTCTCTTTGGTAGGATGACAATGTTTCAATCTTATATCTGTCCTCTTAACAGAGTTTAAGGAGGATTGCTAGACATTGTCCTAAAAATAAGAATAAGAACAATACTAAAATTGGAACTCAATATTAGTTGAATTATAGAAATTAAAAATATTAAAAAAAAAAAAACTATTCAAGTTTTAAATTTGGCTATGGTTGCCAGAGTTTCTCATCGGAGTGTTGGGCCACCACAATTCAGGTTGTCGGCCAGAAAGGTGACCAAGGGGTGGTGGGCGACAGTGATCAAAGATGGTTTCGACTTTTGACTTCCGTAAGTCTTGTTTGCATGTCATGGTTCAGGTCATTGGAGTTGTGGACTACCACGGTTCAAGTTGTCGGTCAGAAAGGTGATTGGCGAGTGGTGGGCAATGGTGGAGGAAAGTCACAAAAGATGGATTAAAGGTAAGTGAATTGTGTTTGGGTGGGTGGTTGTCGCGACTTCTCACTCTCGAACCCCAAAACTATTAGGGTACACTTGTTGGGCCTAGGTTGAAGCCCAAAACTGGCCCAAACCCATTACGTCCGCCATCACCTTCATAACATAACGGGTCAAAACAGACATGGAAACCGGCACGGTAGAAATGGCAAACAATGCCACAAAACGCCATTTTGCGAATGGCGAATGGCAGTGAGGCCCAAAATCGCCTCGCCATACCGTTATAACGGCGTTATAACAATTTTTTGATAACATTGCTTCTCTGTCTCTATTCTCTCTGTTTGTCTTCATCTTCTCTATTCAAACATATTCTCAAACTTTGTCTTCTTGAACTCTCTTTGATTCGTTGCTCCCTTCAATATATTTTCTCTCTCTTTTTTGTTCTTGTTTCTTCTATTTTTTTCTCTCATCTATTATCTTCTCATTCCCGTGATTTTTTTCTTCTTTTTTCTTTCCTTTGTTTTTTCTGTTCACTTTTTTTTTTGTTCATTTTTTTTATTTGGGCATTTTTGTTCTTTGGTAATCAGCAAAACTATGGCCCAACCAAAAAATCAAAGCTTAGGGGTTGGTGTTGTTGGAACTAATCCCAATCTGGTCCCACACCACCAATGGGTTCCTCAATTGGAATGTTTAAGTTAATGGTGACAATGTTGATGTATTTTGGAAGTGGAACAACTTAAAAGACAAAAACAACAGTTAGAGTGTGATTAGTGATTTTTGCCTAAAAACTTCTACAGAAGGAATTACTAGAGTAAAACGACATCAATTTGGAATAAGAGGAGATGTAGGTGCTTGTAGAAAAATACCATAGGATCTTAAATTAGAAGTGAAGGTTGCTTATGAGAGCAAAAAAATTGACAATGAAGTATATATGGAGTCAATGGAAGAAGATGAAGAGGAAGATGACATCCAAGCCATTGCTTGATTTAAGAGACCTTCATCTACATCATAAAGCATTAGAATGTTATGAAAGCACCAACTATGTACATTTCGTCATGGATCGTTAAAGGCTTGTTGAGATCAGAATAGATAGATAGAAATATTAGGATGCAAACAAAGTCCCATATCATAAAAAAAAAAAGATTTATAAAGTACACACATACTTCATTGGTTAACACACATACTCCATTAGTTATAGGCCTTTAGGGTGATGACCAAAAACAAAATTGTGAGAGTTTAACCATTGTGGAAGTGTGTCTACAAATACCCTCAAATAACTTCTAAATAAAAATATATAAACTTCTCTCAATAAAAATATATTTATAACCTAAAAACAATCGACAGAATAACCCTAAGAGTAGTATCAGAGTCGTTGGTTAGATTCAGTGACAACCAATAAGTCATAACTTATACAAACAAATAATACAATACAAATGTTGGTAGTTAGATTCGATGACAACTAATAACCCACACAGAGAAAAAAAATATACAAAGATAGATTCCATCGAATGAAAGGTTAGGCCTTTTGAGCATGAGGGTTTACGTCTAAAGTGAATAGTGTCTAACCATTGTGGAAATGTGTTTGCAAATACCCTCAAATAAACTGATAAATAATAATATATAAACTTCTATTGATAAAAACATATCTATAACCCCAAAAACAATCAACAAAATAATTCTAATAGTGGTATCAGAGTCGTTGGTTGGATCCTTTGTTTGAGGAGAGGATCGTTGTTCTGGTTAAAGGCCACGTGTGCATCCAAACCTCCAAGATGTCCTCTTTTCGAGTGGCCAAATATACTGATGCTACGTTTATCAAAAGGCAATGCAAATTTGCACATTCAAGGAGTTGAAGAAGTCGAACCCATGTTGCTAGGATACTATGCACAACAATATATATTGTATGCTTAAACTTTATGTTATGTAAACCATTTCATGTTATTCAACTAGTGACCCACTAGTTCGACCATTACCCCACCAACAATGTACCTTAATTGAGCCGAGAATTGGTCTAGTTCTAATAAATTGGATAGAAATATGACAACTTAAAAAAATTGAGAAGGTCACAAATAATTTGTCTCGGTTAGTCATTTTATATAACTGTGGAAAATACTTGCTTCACCTGTATTGTTAAAATAATAAAGATAAATGAGATATTATTTCAAATGATATTTAATAATAAATGTATTTTATTGAATTAAATTCATTCATTTTCTAATAGAATATGAGGTGTTTTCTAAATTTTTAAATGAAAATTATGAATGCTTAGTCATGTTTTTACTACACTGACTGTGTAAATCAATTAGTCTGAGGTTCCTCTAACTTATTGTTGGGATACAAACAAGTCTCACATCGATAAAATAAGACAAGAATAACAATTTATATAGCACAAAAATACTTAACTCATAGAGAGACCTTTTGGGTGATGACCAAAAGTAAAACCGTGAGGGCTTAAGCCCAAAGCGGACAATATCTCATCATTGTGGAGTATGCTTGTGTAATAACCTTAAAAAAAACTCTCATAAAATATCTCCTCGGACAAATACTATAAAATAACCCCATTAGTGGTATCAGAGCCACAAGGTTACAACCTTCATAACCCCTCATAACTCATAACATATAATGTGATATATAAAGACAGATTTTGTTACATGAAAGGTTAGGTCCCTTGTTTGAGGAGAGGATTGTTGGGATACAAACAAGTCCCGCATCGATAATATAAGACAAGAAATAACAACTTATATAGCACGAAAATACTTCAATGATAGAGAGGTTTTTTGGGTGATGACCAAAAGCAAAACCGTGAGGGCTTAGGCCCAAAGTAGACAATATCTCATCATTGTAGAGTATATTTATGTAATAACCTTATAAAAATAATACTAATAAAATATCTCTTCAAACAAATACCATAAAAAATAATCCCATCACTTATCCAGTTGTTTCGAGTTTGAGTTCTCAATATGTAGCTATGTTGAATACTTGGAAGGAGAGTTTTATTGTTTATAGTGGTTATACCCGACTTAAACAAGATTATCTCCAATTGAAAATAATTGTGGTATATACCAAGAAAATCTTGTTTTACCACCAATTGAAGCAACATTGAGGATTTTCTTTCTGATGGCTTCTTTCTAGTGATGGATAGAAAGAGAAAACAAACAATAGGGAGTCATCTATATAGCCTGATGAATAAATCTCAGCCTTATGAATTAGAATAAAGAAATGAGATTGTGTAAGCATGAAATTTGACACCAATTGTAATTCATGACTTTCGTTAAATTAGACTTCTGATTTTATAAATAAAAACATACTCATTTAGAAGTTACTTAATCCATATTAATTTTTACATAATATTGGTTTATTTTACTCAAATTAATAATAAGAACCGCTCATACATACCATGTAATAGACGCGGGATTTTATGAAATGGAAGATAAATGAACGGAAATCAAGATTTGCATCTTAGATTCAACTCTAATCCATTTTATTACATGGTCTAGTTTTTCGCCCCAAAGATGCTAAGAAAAGCATTGTGAATTTGAAACATTGTTTATAGTGTTGAGAAATCACGCAGAGTTTCTTATAATCAGATTTGCGAGAAGTAAAGATAAATGTGGAATAATAAGACACAAAATTGATAATGGAATTTGCCTAATTGTGCCTACATCCCCGAGGTTGCTGCAAATATATTATTGAGAAAGGAAAAAATATAAAAGTGTATGCAAACACTCAACTCACAACCTAAATACACTCAGATAATAAAATATTATTTTCTAAACTCTTCTTTTCTCTCTCTCTCTTTTTCTTTCTCGTAGTTGGAATGTTTTTTGTAGTTATAGTATGGTGCTATTTATACATGCATGCAAAGTTTTTATTCCAAATTTTGTTTTCCTATTTTCATACATTGCTTTAATTTTATTAGTTTTCCTATTTTTCCTAAATAAAGGAACAGGCGCTTCCATGCATTTTTGGTTTGCATGACCAAGTCTAACATATAGCCAGACACAGTCATGTAGAGGGAGCAATGGATATATACGATATGTCTGACGATAAACTTATTGTAATATTTACAGGGATTTTTTAAAGGCTTGGGCAAGAAGTGTTCTTTTAATTGTTTAAAGCAACATCATGGTAGAGTTGGTCAGCAAAACAAATGGTTGTGCAAGTTGGTAACTTTAAAGCTGGACAAGTGCATTTTACCATATGCAATTCCATCTGCTATACTTCCTCATTTAAACAACTTGGAAGAATTGCAAGTGCGGAAGAGCGACAAAGTAAGGGTGATTTTTGATATGAATGACACTGAGATAATAGAAACACCATCCCGGTTGAAGAAATTGACTTTACAAGGGCTATCGCAGCTGAAGCGTGTGTGGGAAAAGAATAGTCATGGAGTTCTGATGTTTGGAAATCTGCAAGAGATCTTTGTTAGTGAGTGTGAAAACCTCCAAACTTTATTTCCTTCTTTGCTGGCAAAGAATCTTGAGAAGCTTGAGAAACTCGAAATGAAATTTTGTTTTAAATTGCAAAAAATTGTTGAAGAGGAAGAAGGCACAGCAGAAAAGTTTGTGTTCCCTCGTTTAGAGAAGTTGGATCTTTGTGACTTGCCACAGCTCACTTACTTTTACCCTCAAACATTTACTCTGGAATGCCCCACCTTAAATAAATTAAATGTGTTGTTTTGTGATGAGTTGGAATTATTTCAAAGTGCTTCAATTAACAGACTTCCTCTTGTCTCAAATCTGAAGGTAAGCATCCTAGAATCTGAACTCAACTCTTATCTTTTTTCTCATTTCATCTTCTAATTCAGTCTTTTGCCTTTAATTGTTAGGTCGTTTCCAACCTGAAGGAATTGAAACTTGATTGGAAACACATTTCGGCATTAAGTTTAAGGTTTAAGTCTGAGCAATTTGGAGAAGGCCTCGAATATTTAAACGAAATTTCCCTGTTGTTTGACGCTGATGAGAATAAGAAACCTGTGTTGCCTCTCCAAAAAGCACCTGATTTAACACATTTGGGTTTAGCATATTGGAAAAGTCCTGGGATATTCCTTGCTGAAAAGCCCAAAATTGGTGTGGACGGGATGAGACAATTAAAAATATTGACACTATACCACATATCTGAGCTCCAGTCCATCGAGTCAGAAGACTCATCATGGTTAAACACAATTTGTGAGGAGCTCCACGTATTAAATGTTGTCAGATGTATTCATTTCACAGCATTAGTACATTCTCCTTCTACAATATCCTTCTATTGTCTCATAAAAGTGTCCATATCCAACTGTCCCAAATTGCAGTATTTATTTACATCTTCAGTGGGCAAAAAGTTAATGAACCTTGAGGAAATCACAATCCAGGAATGTGAATCAGTGAAAGAAATAGTGTCTGGAGAGAGTGATGAAGATAAAGATGAAGATGAACACAAAGAAGGTGATGATAAATTTGAAAATGAGATTATATTCGAGAAGCTTCAGATTTTGAGACTTGACTCATTACCAAAATTTGAAGGCTTTTACACGGGGAGTTCCACTTTGAATTTGCCATCCTTGAAAGAAGTGTTGTTCACCGAATGCTTCAACACGAAACTTTTCCGTCTTGGTGACAAAGTGCCAACAAAATTGAACGTCACAAAAGATGGAGTCAAATGGAAAAGTGATCCATATAAATTTTGTGATCATGCAACAGTTTTAGGAGGCAACCTGAAATAGTTTGGTTACAATTCCCTTTACTTGTATGTAAGTACACATATATGACTAGCTATTTCTCATCACGTGCGACTAACTGAGTGAGAAGACATTTATCATCTAATAATGTTAATTTCTTTGTTTCTGTCTTCTACATAAATGAAGATTTAAGAATGTTAAATTAATTATATTTTACCCCCAATATGTCAATTGGTCATCTCTAATCACCTCTCTATTATTAATAATTTGCTTCAGGAAATTGTTGTCAGTAGAAGCTTATTGTCATAGCATTCGCTTATGGTACCCTTGAAAACTAGTATGAAGCACAGCAACAGAGCAGAAGACATGGAATGTTAGTGAGTCTGATTACTTTCTTACGTTTGTAATTTTCATTTTATGGAAAACATGAATCCAAACATAATAAATGATAACATGACAAGTTTATTTTGAGAAATTGAGGGATAGTGGATTCAAGTTTTATTGTTTGTGGGGGTATGTTTTGTCTCGTATAGTACCTTTTGTAGTCAGTTTTGACACTCCTTGTAAAATTTGACTACCTATTATCAATAAAAATCTTTTTTCTACATAATAAGTTAGAAATTATTTTACTTTCAGCTACTATATAACTATTTCTAAAACAATTTCCAGGTTTAGGGAATCAGGGGAACTCGAAGAAGCCAATGATAGCATCATGACAACAACTTTCGACAAGTCAAGGGGTTTTCTTTTCTTTGGAAGTGTGGTGTTCATAATAAAGTTTCCTTGTATACTACAAAGGTGTTTTATGAATAAAGTAGTCCCTTATTTATACAGGACCAAAGGTGTGTGTTAAAATTATATCAGTGTTTCATATATTTGATGTAACAAGGAGGAATTAATTTTAACAATTAAACAGTGCAGCAATTAAACTGAGAAGGACAGCACAACCACTTAATGGAAAACTGGAAAGAGTGCACTTCCTATGAGATCAAACGAGATCATAGGGAATCACTCAATTGGTATTTAATGGAAAGTTCAGTACATACTTCAGCAATGAAAGAAAAAAGTACACTGAGAGAGAGAAGAATAATTTCCCAATCATTGCCTCCATTCTCTCTCCTACCCCACCCTGGTATTTAACTAATTCTTCTGCCACACATATTCCCTCATACGCACACTTGGCCTTCTCACACGCTTGATCTTAATTTCAGCATCTCCTCCTTCACTGATTGCCACCTGTCCACTTGAGCTAACAGACTGCACATGCTCTTTTACTTTTGATTTCTCATTCCACTCGTGTACCTCTTCTGTTACACTACTCCCCCCTTTTGCAATAACCTTGTCCTCAAGGTTGATATTTGGATAACTCTGCTCCAATTTGTCAAGGTCTTCCCAAGTTGCTGCATCCACACCAAATCCTTCCCACTGGACCAGGACTTGGCGCACCAATTTCCCCGCTTGAATGATGTCCCTCACACTAAGTACTTGAATTGGTTGCACAACAGGTCCCTCCACAGCAGTTGTTAAAGGCAATGGTACATAAACTGTATCAGTAACCCCTCGAAATTGCTTAAGCTGAGATATATGAAATACTGGATGGATCTTAGCATAATCCGGTAGTAGCAACTTGTAAGCCACGGAACCAATGCGCTTCTGAATTGGAAAGGGACCAAAATAGCGTAATCCCAGTTTCTGATTCTTTCTTAAGGCTAAGGAATGTTGACGATAAGGTTGAAGCTTCACCAAAACCATTTCACCCTCCACAAATTCCTTATGCAATCTCTTTTGATCAGCATATTTCTTCATTCGCTGCTGAGCCAACATCAAATTCACCTTCAATTGTGCCAACACTCTGTCTCTCTGCAGTAACATCTCTTGAATGGAAGGTGGGTCTGTCGCAGAATGAGAATACTTGACAAGCGTTGGAGGATCCCTGCCATAAACCACCTTAAAGGGGGACATTTGAGCACTATGATGAAAGGAAGTGTTGTACCAAAATTCTGCCCATGGTAAGAATTTGATCCAGTCCTTAGGTTTCTCATGTGTGAAACAACGCAAATACATCTCGAGGCACTTGTTCAATGCCTCTGTCTGTCCATCCGATTGAGGATGGTAAGCCGTGCTAAGCTTAAGTGTTGTACCACTCAGTTTCAGTAAATGCTGCCAAAAGGTACTCGTAAATACCTTGTCTCTATCAGACACAATAGAGTTGGGAAAGCCATGTAACTTAACCACAGTATGGAGAAAAACGTCTGCTACTCGTTTGCTGTTAAAGTCAGACTTTAGAGGCGCAAAGTGAGCATACTTTGACAGCCTATCCACGATTACAAATATCACTGTGTAACCCTCAGCAGGTGGTAGTCCAACAATGAAATCCATACTGATATCTTCCCAGATCTGAGTAGGAATTGGCAAGGGTTGTAAAAGACCAACAGGAAAAACTGTTGCTGTCTTTGCTTGCTAGCAAACACAACACTGCTGCACGAAATTTTTAGTGGTGAGATTTGGAGGGACTTATCACTTCATTTAGTGTGTCATCACCAAGGGGGTTCTCTACCCTTCCATGTGTGTTTGAAGAAGGCTTTTAACACCTTTGGAAACCTTTAGAAAATCTAGAAGACTAAGAAGGAAAAGATCTGTGCAAAGAGCTTGGAGGAGGAACTACATCAATCTAGTCTCTCCAAAGGATTTTTTGTCATTTGGTATCAGAGCAAGGTCTTCTTGGTAATCTCTTTTCATAACTTTTTGTGTCTTTGATTAATTCAAATTGTATTTTTATTGACTGTCTTGTGTTTGTGTGTTTAGAATTGTTCTTGTGTCACATATATAAATCTATAGAACAATTCACCTATGTCTTGTAGTTTTTGATTCATGCATCAATGTATATGGATCAATTTTGTTGTGTGCCTTTAGGTTAATCTTGTTCTTGAATTTTAATATTTTAGGCTTGCTTTTACCTTGATTGGAACCCTTTAAAATTCCTTCAAAAGAACCGTAAAAGAAAAATGTATAATATGTGCCTTTTCAATTTTGTAATCCATTTAGTTTTGTCTAGTTGTATTGTTTAGTCCTTGTATGTCATTACTTCCATTGTGTGCCTATTTCATTTTGAATCTTTGAACAATATTCTCTGTTTTTTGTGTCTTAAATATTGCTATATGCACATAATACAATTCTTAGAAGTGCTCATTATATGAATCCTATGCATGTTATTAGATTTAGCATGTCCTAGTGTCATATTTTTGTAAACTTCATTTGCTAATTATTGCTTAGCAATTTAAGGACAAAAATTCCTTTGAGTCATTTGTGCTTTAATTGAACAAAAAAACCTGAATATAAAGTGTGAGAACAAGAATTAAAAAAAAGTTTCGAAACCTAGAGAAAACTAGAAACAAAACTAGTCTTAAATTTCATTAAAATTTCTCTAGTTCATCCACACTTTCTATAAATTTTACTCCACCACTAATAAGCCATTTGTTCCTAATTTTATACTCTATTTTTTAGTGCTCACATTCAGTTTTTTTAAAGGAAAAAGAAAAGAAAGAAGGAGCCAAGAAGGGAATTAAAGAGAAAAAGAACAATAGTATACAAAAGTTTGTGAAAATTGAAAAGAAAAACAAAACAAAATTTAGAGCACTTGGTCTTATATTTTTGGAACTTATTTCTTGGCTTTACTCTTTGTTTTTGGTGGCTGGATATACCTTTTAATTGTTCAAATTAATTTCAAAAGTTTTTGTTTTGTTTTTTAATAAACTCTAGTGTAATTTCTAGGTCTATTCATTTGAAAGCTAGTGTTGAAATTGTTAAGTCAGACGAAACGCATTTGCAATTCCCACCGAGGTTTTGACTATGACAAATATAATACATATTGTTATTACTAACATGTGTATTAGTGTTTCAGAAGAATAACAATAAGTTCAAGAAAAATGAAGGATGAGTATAATCACGCATAATCAAGTTGGACAAAACAACGGACGATGGCAAAACCAAGTATCAAGACTAAGGTCGATTCAGGCCTAAATACAAGATAACACGAATCTATTAGCTAAAGCCTGAGGAATCAGATGTGAGATTGAAACAAGTACGTGTTATATAAGAGCAAGTCAAGTACGGGACACAAGTTGGCCAGACATCAACATGAAGTGATGAAATCAAAAAGAACCAAATGAACCAAAAGACAAAGCTATCACTCTCATGCCCATACAAAACAGGTAGTCAAGATCAGATGAAGTATCATGTATCCAGACGCCATTGGAAAATAATGAAGCACCTCTGAAGTCCACTAATCACATTGAGAGAAATCATACAAGAAACACAAAAGGACATCAAACTGAAATACAAAAAAGGAGAAAATCAGGCAAGCGTGGAATTACAAGTCAAAGTAGCACACGTCAGAAAAAAAAAAACTACTTTTTAGAGAAAGATAGCACCGTAGCAGCTAAACTGATGGGACAAGTACAAATATTCCTAGATTATGATTGAAGTCAGACATTGGAGTAATCAACTACACAAAAAGACCTCATGTATACTAGCAAACATTTAATGCAAGATCAAATGCATTAAATGAGAAGATTTATATTGTCATGAACAAGCCTCCATCTGCAACGACATGAAGCTCCACCCCAACGGAAAAATTTGAATCCGAACAATGGGCAGATTCACCAAGAGAGCTATAAGTATCAAGCTAGAAAAGAGAAAGAGAAATAGTAGTAGAGAAAACATGCAATCAAAAATGTTGAGCTTAGGGGAGCCTGAACTTGATGAGATCAGGATTATCTCTGAAGCTTAAGAGAGTTTTGATGATCACAAAATGTGTGTCAAGGACAACAACAACTTAGGAGACAAAAACAAAGTCAAAGAAAGTGCTATGTAATAGGAATTGAAATAAAATATGTGTAGATGATTTTGACCTTCTAACCATTATTGGCAGGGGAGCCTTTGGGGAGGTAGAAATATATACAATCATATTAGATAGTTATTTAGTTAGATCTTTATTTTTGTGTTTTGATGTTTAAACATGGCATTCAATGTAAGATGGTAATATGGATGGTGGATAATACTCAATTAAATATTTCTTAATCATAATAAAATAAATTGCTTTCCATATGGTTCTCCTTGTTGAAAGAGCTATCCCTTTTTACATCAAAATGTTTTGTCCTATAAATCTGACTGTATAACACACCTTAATATTTATCCTCGAGTATCCAAGTTTAATCCTAACTCCTACGAGATTCAAATGTCATTTTGGTTAGAGCTTGGGTTATTATGTATGTCAAATGTCTTAATATTTGGGTCATCCGGTAACCATGAGTAGCAACCCGATTTTGCAAAGTTTCTATGCTTTTGCTTAGAGAACATTCTTGGCATCACTGTCACCATCAGTACACCTTCAACACCATGTATTAATTATCTCTTTTGATTTCTCATTCCACTCGTGTACCTCTTCTGTTACATTTGACCTGTATTGCTACAAGAGGTCTGAATTTAAATTAAGTTGTTGAAGTATTTTCTATGAATAAAATTGACATTGATGTATTTCTGAATAAGGATGATCCGTTTTGGCATGGATTTCAACGGTGTTTCTTGAATAATGTTGACATGTACTTCTACAAGTATGTGGTTTTTGAACTTGTAAAAGGGTTGTTTAGTGAACAAAGTTGTCCCGTAAATCTACAGGAGGTATGTATGGTTTTTAAAATACATAAAGTGTGCTTCATATATAAAGTTTAGTTGTATTTCATCAAGATATGTATGTTGGTGTTAATGGTTTAGACAAAATGATGACAAGGATGTGATGGTGTGGTGTGTGGGAAGGCCAGGGAAATTGGAGCAATTAGCAATGGTGGCATTGGCATAGAGATGGAGCTCCTTTCTCATGAATAAGCTACATATTTTTAGTTATTGGGCTTTGACAAAAGAGAACTAAAGATATCCAATTTTTGCTGGATATTGGCACCCTTATCATCCCTGTCTCTTTCCCAAACTCTAGGAACACCATTTATAGGTAGAAAAAAAATGCAGAAAAAGCAAAATTAAAAAAATAATAATAATACAGACACTGTATCACAAAGGTCGACCGAAAGGAATATGGAAAAGGTGGGTTTTTTGTTTTATAACGGATGATAACTAGAATTCTAGAAATTCTATCAAATGTGAAACTTTAAATAATAACGACTGTTATTTGAAATTCAAATGAAATATATTATTATTTCATTAATTAATTTTTTATTTATTCAAAAGGGATATATAATAAAAAGGTTTAGGACTTAAAAGTTTAGTTGAACTTTGATAAAATTTCAAAAATAATAAATAAATATGAAATTTATAGTTTTATATTTAGAATAACTTATTTTATTACAAAAAGAACTTTTTGAGAAATTTTAGAATAAAACTAAATTAGAATTTCGAAGATGAAATGTTTTGAAAATAATACTACAAGAAAGTTTATAAATTTTTAATGACTTTTGAGTAAAAGTTTTAAAATTATTTAATCATTTATTTATGATTAAAAAAATAGCCAAAAAAAAAAAGATAATATAAGAATTTTAGAAAAATATGATTATGTATCCAAATTTACTTAATTTGGCTTTAAAAAAATAAATACCAAAATTACACACAATTTAATTAAACATTTTACTAAAGATTCGATGTAATCATTATTGATATAGTTGTTGTTTAACAAGAATAACACAATACATATTTACAATATGTGAAATAATTTTATGTATCTATTTACAATATTAAGGTAATATTTTAAATAATAAATGAAGTTTTAAATAAATTTATTTATATAATTATATATTGCAGGAGTCACAGTTTAGAAAATAATAATTGTAATACTAAATACATGTAATATTTATTAATTAACCAAACTATACAATTTTTATCTTCCATGATTAATATTTTTCAAATAATTATGATTTTCTCATTTAAAATATCTTAACACTTTCTTTATATTTGTTACAAATATATATATATATATATATATATATATATATATATCTCATGTTTAATCAATTTTTTTAATTTACCATTTTAAACTCTTTATAAATTTATTAAATATAAAGTTTAATATTTTTATATTATTTCCCGTGCAATGTTCGGTGAATATCTAGTTAATTACTTGTAATGTATGCTTAGAATTTTATTCACTTATTGAGGTGTGCTGCAAATGGCGACAGTACAGACTACAGATACAAGATCCTTAAGTCATAGTAGGGTTGGGCACTGTTTAGTGCCTTAGTAAAACATAGTATTTCCCTTTCTTTGTGATTTTATTTTGCAACTCCTAATTTTGCAACTATTAGGAATCGGGTAAAATCGAATTTAGATATTATTATAGCACCTACTTAATTAAATTTAGTTAGATTAGAGTGGGTTTGTAAGGCTTTTTTTTAAAACAATTCAAATCAACTTAATTATAATTGAATTGGATCAAGTCAAATTATCGAATTTGATAATTAAAAAATAAATATATTTTTTAAAATTGAAATAAATAAAAATTAAAAATATATATATAATTTATTTAAATTTTAATACATTATTCAAAGTACAAATAATCTTACAATAAGTATACTGAAAAATCACAAATATTCTAAATAAATAAATATTATGTCAATAATTATAAAATTTTAAATTACATAACAAATAGAATTAAATTATTCCTTTTGTTCTATGTCTTTTTTAATTTAGGGAATTAACTTATTACTATAATATTTGATAAAAAAAATAGAATTAAATATATTATTAAGAGTGAATTATTGATTGATTTGTGTCATTTGTGAAGTATTTTTAATTTATTATAAATAGAGTTAATTATATAGGAAATACTTTGATGGATTACCGAACTTAATTATAATCACCGGTAAAAATTATTCAACTTAAAGTGACGACTTCATCCAACTTACCAAAATGTAATTGGGTTGTTTCCGACGGTGGATAAACAGTTTCCCTCTTACACAGCAACCGCTGATTCAACCAGGAAAATAAATGACATAAAGATAACCGCAAAACGACAAACTTTTAATAGCACTTCCACAACTATTGGTATGTTAAAAGCTAAGGCTTTATATCTTCTTGCTTTTTGCTAAATACGAGACCATCAACATAAAGTTTCAAAATAATAATAATAATAATAATAGTAATAGATTTCATTCCTCTCTGAATGGTATCACCACAATAAAATACTTCAATCTTTATCTGATGCGTCACAAGTAATTATTATCTTGATACCATTAAAGTTGGTTCAGGGCATCAAGATAACACAAAAAGATTTAGCAAAGTAGCACACTTCAAGTTGATTTAAGAAAGTAGAAGTTTTCCGTAAGCAAAACAAAAACAAAAGGAACAAAAAACAAAGAATTAAAACGAAAACAAAAGGTGAGAATGTACAAGATTTTGTTCTACCTGCCTAGAAAATGAATATTATTTGTTTGTTAAACATGTAACACCAGTACACCACCATTAAAGAAACATTCAATGCTATATATGTCTCAGAAAACTCTTATGCTCATTTCAGAATTTACATCAGCACAGCAATTACAGAATTTGTAGTGAAAATTTGCTTGGCTTATGTATTTCTTTGGTGAAAATAATCTCAGCAACTGAACAAAATTTTATAAATTTATGATAACTTCAGCAATAACATATTCTGATTCAATTACATATTTACAATACCATTGTGGATCCATGCTTGACAGAATTTTACCATGGCATTGTGCCAGCAAGTGTTCAATAAATCAGACAGAATAACAATAGTGATAAATCATCTTGAGATTTGTTAGCAAACTGAGTTGTTTCTAAAAGGAAAACAAATGATGGAGCCAGAGAAGATACAGAAAGATAAAATATTATATAATCTAAGCATTGAATATTACACAGATTACCAGCTTTCTCATTCCACAGTTTACACGCTAAGCTACTTGTTTCATATAGACAATGAAACAACACTGGTGAGAACATGAGTAACAAAGTAAAAGCTTCATGATACAAATAGCCATTTGCAACTTTCAATAGTTCCTCTACTTTCTGCTGAACAAGCTTTTCAATTTCCCTCTTTCCAACCGCTCCAGAAGCTTTCTAGCTCCTGGAATGTCCATCTCTGTAAGCTTCTTCAGATACCCGATTGCCCCATAAGAAATCATTAGTTTCTTACATTTCTTACTAGGAGAAAGTGATCCAAGGCAAGAAACTGCATATTTTTTTGCACTATTCTGAGGGCTTGGATCAAGCAACTGGACCAGATTTGGCACACTCTTATCATCCTTCTTAACTTCTCTCCGATTCTGCGACAGAACCATTAGGCTCGAAATTGCTTGAGCAGCAACCTCTCTAGCAGCATTTGCTTTAGCCTCAAGCATCTTAATAAGAAGAGGGATGCACCCAGCTTCGCCAATCAATTTTTTCATCTCCATTGAGCTGCAAACTCGGCAGATGACTGACACAGCCGCTTGTTGCGCACCCGGCGATCCAGACTTCAGGACATGAATCAAACGGGGAAGCAAACCAAGAGAAACCAAAGTTTCTTCAGACACTGATCCAACCAGATTCCTCAATGCTCCAACTGCAGATTCTTGGGGAAGTGGACCATCAAGGTAGGCCAAAAGACTCCTAACACCACCTTCTGATATAACAGACCTTCTAAGATTCTCATTGCTTGAAGTGAGATTCTGCAAGCACTCAGCTGCATACTCTTTGGAACCCAATAAAATTCCACAACTAAGAAGATTGATCATAACCCTCACAATACCTTCTTCAGCCAAAGCCTGTCTCACCTCCGGAACAGCTGATATATTTGTCAAAGTACAGGCAGCAGCAGCCTGTGACACAGAATCACCACTTTGACAAAGCTCAATCAAGGGCCGAACACCACCATGTCCAACAATCGCGCGGGTTGTTTCCGCCGACATTGACAATCTCTGAAGAGATACCGTAGCCTTCTCTTTACCAACAGCACTACCAGATTCAACAAGTCTTATAAGAGGTGGCAGAACTCCTTCAGAAACTAGCCACTTTTCACAGCTTCCCGATTCCACAAGAGAGCATATCACAGTAACTGTCTTCTCCCTTATCCGTGGAGATGTTGCTGTGAGCAATTGAACCAAAGCAGCAACATTGCTCCTGCCAAGAACAGCCAAAACATTCTTCTCATCTTCTTTCATAATATCATAGAGTCTGTCCAAGGCTTTGTGCTTTGCTTCCAAGTGACCAATCTGAAGGCGCGCTAGTAGTTCTCTTATATTGTTGTGTGTTTCTATATCTGATTCTGCCATAGAACCTAACACAGTTAATGGCAAAGTAGCTTCACCGAGCACACCAGTCTTGATCAAGAGACCACAATCCTTCAAATTCAAATCCAGTTTCCCAGTTAAAGCATCAAGATCACTCTGCATCCGAAGCTTACCCTCGTACTTCTCCTTCACACACAACTCGGCCAATTCAATGGCCTCTTTAAGTGTCTTTGACACAGCCTGCAATTGCTCCTTACATAGAGCATTCTTGGAGAAACAAGGGTGGCTAGACAAGTCCGATAAACGGGTCGGAATCTGCTCCAATTTTGAAATGATCATCTTCCACCTACCAGGGAACCCCTTAACCTCTCTTGCCTTAGCAAGAGCAACAGGAACAAGTTCCTGTGCGTGCAACAAGCAGTCTTCTGTAGAACAGGCATCAACTGCTACCATGTCTTTAGTAGCTTCCACCATGATTTCAAAACTCGGTCGTGTAGTCTAGCAGAATTGAATTGATGATCACCAAAGCTGTAGAATAGAAGAAAACCAAACTCAAAGAAATGACCAAGATGCCAATTTGTAGAAAAGCAGTGATATTATCAGCATAGAAAATTAAAAAGTTGTGGAGCAGTTGCAATCATAAAATCCGTAAATTATAAATAAAGACTCCAATAGATAATTCTCATACGTTAAAAAAAATAAAAAGGACTAGACCAACATCAATAACTTCGAGAATCTTATGATCACACACAAAGCTTGTTTGAAAGCATGACACGACCCATCATCAAAACTGAAGTACCTAAAGATGCCCCACGAGTCTTTCTTTCTCTTTCATTAGCCAGTGATCATTTAATGCTATATTAAATTTCAATGTGAATAAGAAAAGACAAGCTAAACCATGGTTGATGAGAATGGCTGTTAATGAAAATGAGGGAATTGGCGTGTAACGGCTAACTAGTGAGTCCAATTAAGAAGCCGTCGGTGGATAATATTATACAAATCAAAAGCATTAGGCCAAAAAAGACCCCACCTCACATATTGTATATAAATGTAATAAATGTAATGTAATAAGAAACCTCTCAAGGGGGTATTTTGGTCATTAGAAGAATCTCCACCAACTTTACTTTTCAACCATGAAAATGAGGGTTGGTGGAGACAGTATCAAAGTTAAATGTAGGGAGTTTTGTTCGTCATTTTGATTTTGATTCCAACCCACATCAAGGATTCCAGTTTCTACAAGAGAGGCTGCTCAAAAGTGGAAATCTTAGCTGTGTTTTTCGTTCTTTCTCCTCATAAAGGCTACCGGTATGAGAAAGGGAAAGGCTTTACTTTGAAGGGAAGACACAAAAGTCTCTATCTACAAGTTGTATACAACCCAATTATATCCAATAAATAACCCCTTATTATTATTTATTGTCATCATTATTACTAGTAATATTGATGAAAATTCAAAATCATAAATTTAAATAACATGTACCTCAGACCAACTTGACTTGCCAAATATTCAAAGAGTTGATCCTGTCAAAAGCTATCACAGTTGTTCTCTAGTTTCTGCAAACCCCAACGACAAAAGAGAAAATATTAAGATAACAAGAAAAAGGGAAGAAAAGGAACAGAATTTTACTTCTATGGAAAGAGATCAAAGCAAAGAAGCAACAAAAAAAAATGAAGGACCAACCTTTAAGAATGAGTAACAAAGACAACAAGCCAAGACTTTGTAACTTAATCTTCAAACTTGACACTCTCTATCACACACTATAGTGTGATTCAGAAATGGCTATAGAAGGCACTAACCAACCACCCACGCTGCAAAATGTAAATATGAATGCTTCCAAACTCATCAATCAAGACACAGCTGGATTTTCTTCAAACAAGGCCCTTCGTGTTTCGGAGAATCAGAAACGTCTTATGTGTCATAATTGAGAAACAGACACAAAATGAAAGTGGTGATCAAGTTTGAAGCAAAACCTGCTATGAAGTGTATTAAAAAGCTTAACTGCACAAAACGACACAACAAGTACAATACCAACAACGTTCACACACCCACTATTCAAAAATCAAAACTTTGCCACTCTTCCAATGTCAGTGTTGAGGGAGAAGCGGAGCTTATGTTTCGTGTGAAAAGGCTTAACGTTCGAGCATGTTCTATGATCGGACGGTGGAGATTGCGTTTTGGACAGACCACGTTACCGTTGGGATTTGTCAAAATTTGAAAATGCTAAGGATTGTTTTTGTACGTTACCAATGTGATGACGTGGAAACATTGCCACGTGTGATGTGGGGACAGATGCTACTTTTCAAAGCGACTAAAGTCACACGTGTGAAGTGGACGGATTATGAGGAACTGTTTGGGTTCAGTGTTCAGTGGATGGATTTGAATTTGCAAACATTAGACATCGGTTTTGGGGGAAATTACGAAGATGCCACTGATGAAAAGTTTGGTGAGGCAAAGCATGTGAGGTTTGTTGGGTGGAGAGTTCGTAGAAATTGGATTGTTAGTTCCAATTAAGGTATCACTGTTTATTGCATAATCAACTCCCATTTCAAAAAGGATTAAAAAGATGCATAAAAGTTCTTTTGTTTCACTTCAACAAGCTAAATTACTTTTGAGTTTAATTATGCATCGTGTAAAAGAATTATAAGGACTGTAAAAAGCTTTAGGAAATTAATCATTATATAACAAATTCTAACGATAATTTTTATGCATTTATTAATGATGATGAAAGATAGAAAAAGAAATAGTATACAATAATTTATTATTATTATTATTATTATTATTATTATTATTATTATTATTATTATTATTATTATTATTATTAGAGGTATATGCAATGAGGATTGGTTTCACCAGTATAATTTTATTTGATTTTTATTTTAAAAGTCATTAAAGTTCCAATTCAAACAAGAAAAATAAACATAATTTAGTTTGTTTTGTTTTTAAATGAATTATAAAATTTAAATCAAATCAAATCAATCTTTTGTGATATAATTTGGCTCATTTTTTGTAATTTTTAAAATTTGTTATGAAAAAATAACTAAAAATATGTAATATTAATAAATAAATAGATTAGAAAACTAATTTTACAAATTTAACTTTAAAATTAATCTTCTTAATTAGAAATTATGTAACATGACAACCAAATTCTATATAGTATTATTAGAGGTATAAATAAAAAGAGGTAATTAACATTGAAAAGTTAACATAATACTTAATTTTGGAAGAATTTTTCTTATAATGCGACATTTATCATGGCACAAAGGGATTAACATGTTATTTGTTTAAGATCATATGTTAAAAATAAAACTAAAAATATATAAATACTAAAATATTTCGATCATTTAATATATTTAATACCAATTTTATCTTATTATTTAGTGAAAAAAAAAATTAATACAATTTTAGTTATCATATTAAATATTTTATTCTCATATATATAGTTTATCATTTTAAAAAAAATCTTTTTGAATGTTATAAAAAGAAATTCTTAATTTTTTATTCTAAAATTCAATTTAGTAACTTATAATTTTATAAAACTTTTTTTAATATTATACCGTATATTTGAAGAGAAAAATATATTTTAGTATCCTACAATTTTATTAAGAATTATTTTATGTTATGTGTTTATTTTGTAAATATGCATTATGTATTTACAAAAAAATTAAAAATAAGTGTCATTTGGTTTGGTTTGGAGCAATTTAGTATTCCAATATGAAAATTGAATCAAATTGCACGATTTTAAAAATTTTAAAAACAAATTGAATTGCTAATTTACATTTTTTCACTTATTTTCAAATTTTTAATTAATTTGCGATTATTTGTTTAGATTGTTTTGATTTTGAATACTTGTATATATTATTACTCAATTTATTGTTGGCATTATGTTTATAATTTTTTTTATTATCAATGAGTACTCTCCGTCAAACATGAGGATAATCAACTAAGAAATTGAAAACAAACAGTTAATATGTTGAACTTAAGGTCGAATTATTCGGATAGTGCTCAAATTCAATCTTTGGTGAAAATAATTTTTGGCTAAACTTTACTTATCCCCCGCTGAAAGTGTAAGATAAAGCTTTAGAATATTGGTGTAAAAGAAAAAAAACACGAAGACAATCTTCCTCAAAAATTTGACAGACATCAAATAGGTAGACATTATCTTTTTTTGCAAATTAAAATGTAATTACAAAGATTAAAAAATTTGACTTATATAGATTTTAAAAAAAAATACATAGACAATTGTTTATATTAGATGACAGTATTGTAATTGCTTAAAATATCTACTCTTAATTTTTATTTAAAGAAAACTAATAATTGAAATGTTGTAAGAAGAAGCTTTAGTTGAAACTAATCATTAAAAAATAAAGAATTTGTTCGGTTAGAAAATGAGATGGAAATAAGGGATGAGAGAAATTTTAAAAAAAAAATTAATAAGAAAAACTTAATTGAAAAGAAAATAGAAAAAAAAATAATTCGAACTTTTTTCATAGCAATCAATATTTCTATCTTTTTTCTTTAATTTTCTCTCTAATCAAATAAAAAAATGCATACCAAAAATGTCAAAATTTGAATAGAAAGCAAAGAGGAAAGAAAGTTTGTTTCTAGAAATCAAAATTTCAATAGAAAAACAAAATAAAGTATTGGATTTTGTATATATTTTTTCCTCCATCTAAACATGTCCTTATAAAATCAACATGTATATAACTAAAAGTTGAAAATAAAGGAAAATTCCCAACATAAAAAGTCAATAATAATTAAATTAAGAATTGAGAATTGAAAAGTTAAAGTGAAAAACTAATATAAATAATGAAATCCTAATAAAAAAAATTCAAAGTAGTACTTTATTTAAAATAAAATATAAAAAAAAATTAGAAACGTGAACATTAAATAACATATTTATTATGTTGAGAGAAAACTTTATTGTCTATTAATAGGATCAAGACATTTCATATTTCTATATTTTATTTAATAAAAATATTTAAAAATTATTAATGTTTAACAAATTAATTGGTGTTGCATTTGATTTTCAAATATATAGATCTTGAGTTCAAGTCTTATTTTTGTATAAAAAAAATGATTAATTTTTAATATTTTTTTATTACTTAAAAGTTTAAGAGTAAAATTATCTAAAAATTGTGTACACCAAATCGAACAATTTCTTTTATTATATATTATAAATAAAGATTCAATCAAACTCAGAATTGTTAAAGAGAAAATAATAAATAAATAACACTCTCTCACATTTAAAAGTGAAAACGTAAACTTATAATATAAATGTTAATTAATTAAATCTGAAAACCCACATTTCAAATCTGTATTGTACTAATAGTTTAGCAGAAGAATCGACCTTCTTTGATATAATGATATAAAATTGATTTAGTGAATTTGAAGAGAGAAAAAAAAATCTTATAAAAAAACATATATTATTGCGTAAGTTTATACTTTATAGCCTATTTGTTTCTATATTCGTTAAGTAAAAAATATTTTTAATTGAAAATAACTAAAAATAATTTAACGTTTTCATCAGAAATTTAAAACGTAAACTCTACAAATACTTTTATTAAAAAAAAATACCCAAATACAGCATATAAGTATGTGTTCGTGATTTGCGGAGAAATGGTGACAAATACAGACAAAATGATTGTTCAAATCATTTACTCACTTTAATCGTATGTGCTGACTTATTAAACCCTTCAACTCTTTACGAGAATTTTCCAACGCCATTAAATTGACAACTATCCGAAAGCACAGATAGATGCTTTTGAATGATTTTGTTGTCATGATCATATGCTTGGCCAGATTTTGTAAGAATATTGCACGCTTAATCCCATAAACATAATTTCCATTTTTAGTTAATTATATATAACTTCTTCTCATATATGCTTTATTTGATTTAGGGAAGAAAAAAAATAAGGTGAAAAATATTGGAAGGAAAGAAAAAGAAAAGAAGCGAAAAATGAAAAAATTTCTTCTAAAGAACCGAACATCTGTCACCTTGTTAAAAAAATTCAATTATGTACTTATTATGCTAGGCATTGTTAGTATACAACTTAATATGACATTTTTTTAATCATTAAAATCAGTGTAATAGTGAAACATTGAATATTGAAATAGTACAAGTAAGGTGTTCTATTCAAACTTTGCTGTAGGATTGTTTCCAATATTTTACTGGACTGGAATACCACCTTAAATAATTTAAATGTATTTATTAAAGAAAGTTACAGTTTTTAAAATAAACCTAAGTCTACTTGTACAAATTCTTTCCTCAAATTTCCTTACCCCACCCTATCCTTTTCCAGCTTAAATATCTCATTGGCTTGAGAGGGCAAGACAGAAAATTCTAAGAATTAGGTTCTTCGATTTGTTCAACGGAGAGACAAGAAAACAAGTTTGAACATGAACCAAGATCCAATTTCGCGTAATTTACAGGTGAATACGAAATTGTTATTCTTTTTGCCAAGAATATCCTAACCCCTTTATTTATGTGAAGTAGTTCTAGATTTTCTTTTAAAATTGCTTAAATAGCTTAATATTTTCAATAAATTTATTAGGAAAAACCCGGGTCCAAAATCTGTCTAGAGTTTGAACTTAATATCCGAAGTCATTCCAAGCAGAAACAGCCATACATTCAACGTAGATCCCCAAAACACAAATAAGACAACTCCCTGATCACACTCAATGAACAAGGACGTTACACAAACAATGACAACGTAAGTAGCATGATCAGTTGCATAAAACAATAGCTTCAAATCAAAAGAACAAATGACAAGGACCAAATGGTCACTATAACAGCCAAGCCAAGTTTTCAATGTTTTTACAACATTGAACAAAATCCAAGACCCAGAGTGAAAAAGGTTGTATTTGTACGAGGAGTTTCAAATTTTTTGAAATTTTGAATTACTTTTATTTTAAAATTTTCAATATATATTTTACTTTTATATTTCAAATATATAATATCATAATATCATGTTTCAATCAAAATTTATATTATTAATTCACATATGTAAAAGAGTTAAACCATTTTAAGGAAGAAAAAAAAACATAAGGACGTTGTATCAGTAAAATATGTTGCTAGTAGTTTTTCACAAGTATCATAACATTAACTTACTACTTCACCTTAGACTCATCCTAAAATTTAACAACATACCACCATAGGACTAAAATCAAACTTCAAATTTTATAAGAATTAAAAACACACTTTTAAATCCTATAAAAAACTAAAACCAACAAATTCTAAGGTAGACAAGTGTGATAGATGATTTAAATGGTCAAATGATATGTACCAATGTTCTATCAAATTTAACAATGCATCTTCTATAGCAAATTTTTTCTTCTTTTTTTTTACATATATTTTCTTTATCCTCTCCCTCCTCTGTTCTCAAATTTACGGTGGAGCTGCACATTGTGCCAAACACAGGCCTGCACAGCAACAATAACACAATCGATTATATCTTCCTTCCATCATTGCGCCATTTCCGCTCTTCCTAGTGCAACTCAACTTGGCATCGTTGATGTGATAGAGGTGGCCCTCGCTAAAACGTTAAGCGCTGAAGCTACCTTCTAAAAAGGTAGAGAAAGTCTCGATTGAAAAGGGAAAGTTGAGATGAGTTTGTTTTCCATGAAAAAACATGGAGAGGGTTTGATTAAGAGGCCACTCTCTGTTTTATTCATGAAATTTTGGTAGAAGAGGGTGAATTGGGTAACACTGAGAAGCCACAGGTACATCATTCTCCATTTCTGCTTTGTAGAAATTGCGATTAGTTTAGTTGTACGATGAGAGAGGAGAGGTAAAGGAAAAAATAAATTAAAAAAATAATAATAATAAATTTTTTTGCTGTGGATATTCATGGACCACCATAAACCACACCCTAGCACTCGCCCTAAAACCAAATTTTGAATTTTAAAGAAACTAAAATTACACTTCTGAAGACCGAAAAAAAATTGTCACATAACCGCATCAGCAAAAAAATATCCATGCATTACTCAAGTATAACTCCCATAGCCACATACACACTGATTTGACGGAATTAAACACTTAAAAACATGTTTTGAATTTACGAGACCAAATTCAGATGAAAGATTTATTAGCGAAAAAACAAATTTGACAAATTTAAGAGACAAAAAACATTTTTCCAACATGCTTAAAATTCCCCCATCCAATCATACTATAAGACAAATAAAGAAAATAGAATCAGAATAAGCAACAACGACTACGAGATTAAGCCAATGAAAATAAAGACTCGAATCAACATAATATGAATCATAAGCAATGAAGATAAGACTTAACTTTACTTCGGTTTAAAGTACAATAACCAAAAATAAGAAAATAATTTCTTAGCAACATAACATTTAAAATGTCTTACGCAAATTGCACATTAAGGTTCTAACCATACAGGAGTAAATACAATAAACACTAGTTCTTGCTGCCAAACTATGGACTATATAAAGTAACTAAAATGAAAATAAAATGGTCTAACAACAATTTCGGACAGCTCTATTCAGCTTTTTCCTCAGGATCGCGACCTATCTCGAGGTGGGGGAGACCGGCTGCATGAACAGTAAAAACAGTCGATATAATAAGGATATAACACCAAAAGTTCTTTTACGAAAACAAAAGTAAATTATATCAAACCTATCATATCTCCCATTTATTGGGCTTTCAGCTCGTTCATACTTCGGGCTTCCTCTTGGTTCTGGTCTGGAAGATGGATTTGATCCATGACCATAATCTGGGCTACCCCTACCTCTACGATATGGACTAGGGGATCTACCACGACCGTATCTCCCATCAGGAGAGTCATGACCTCTTCTATCAGGACTGTATCCATTCCTTCTGTCTCTGTCATCATCATCTCTTATGGCATACTCCACTGTTATAACACGGTCCATAAACTTGCTGCACATCAAATCAAATCAAAGATTAAACCATCGAAGATATTCAAACTAACCAGAAATTAGCATATGTGTCCCCTTTTCCCCATACCTCCCCTTTACTCAAGGTATTTAAACTAGAGTATTTCAAAGGGGGTAAGACTTCGAGGAACAGGGAGACAGAAATAACTAGGTCAACAATTGAGAAGGCAATTTCAACCTCAGGTTGGTCGATTCCAAAGCTTTTGTAGCATCCTCCTGGGTTTCATACTGAATAAAAGCAAAATTCCTTCTGATCCTTATATTTAAAATTTTCCCGTAGACATCAAAATGTCTCTCGAGATCCCTTGTCCTGGTGTGAACAGGATCAAAATTTATAACAAACAAAGTCTTGGATGGTCTTGAATTAGATGAAGATTTTTTGGCATCACCTGACCTTCTACTGTCACGTTCTTGCTGTAAATTATAATATAATTACAATATGTAAATGTTAAAAACTTCGTATCTGAAATATTAGCCAGAACTATCTGAATAATGCAACCTTTTCCCGTGTGTCAACTGGTGATACCATGCACCGAAAGTAAGGATTCTCATGAGAAATGACACTATCATCAAAAATCAAATAAACATAAAGAAGCTTGCAAAATTATTTTGAGCAAGAATCTCATGCCATTCTTTGATCCCCAAGCATCATGCTTCGAAGTATGTACATCATATAGTAAAAGAATCATCACTTTCTAGTAACCACTAATGCAGTTTACTACACAACTTACCTTAGTCCACTCAACACGAATCCGACGTCCCTTTCTACCAAATTCCGTTCTATCTAGCCTTCTTATGGCATACTCAGCATCACGTTCATCTTCCATGTAGACAAAAGCAAACCCTATAAAAACAAGAACGTTAAACATAAAACAGCACATAAATACTCCAGTTAAGCATTTGAAGACTCCTTTCATAAAGATGATTACAGAGGAAGGCCGCATCAACTTTACAGATGAGGTAAAAATTCAACATAAAGCACAAAATTAAAAACTGTCAAGAAGTACCACAACACCTGCCACAGTTGCCAAATCATCATGGTTTCTATGTTGAAACATGTTGGAAATTGAACACTGAGCAAAAGTCATGAGGAATGAAAAAGCAATGAATGCTGAGGAAATGCAGAATGGCAGGGCTAGGGCGGATCAGATTATTTCTTCTGGAAAAATACAAGGAGAAGCTGGGGCACATTCTAGAAAAGAAATGCAGAGAAGCACATCCATCCAAGAAGAGCATGGACATTCCAACTTTCCAAGTAATCCTGCCACAAAGAAATTATTGAGTATGGGGGTTCATATCTTAATGACAGTTTTTTTTCTTATAAAGGAAAATAAAATGTACATCCATTTAAAAGAAACCAGTCAAAAAACATCATCTCGACCCTTTTAAGAATCATTTGAGGACAGATGTCACAGTTGACAATTTTTGGAAAGTTAATAATGGAAGAATCAATGGTGGACTCCAGGTTGTCGATCAAACTCCAATTCACTTTCAAGTTTCAAGATGAAAACAGAAAGTTAAAAATACTAAGGACTAAAACAAAACTATCTCAGCCCTAATACCATGCATCCTGTGCATTAGCATAAAATTTTGGGCCAACAGAAAAAGAGGATTTTACTATTTGCAAACTCATTTGCCAAATGTGCAAAGCAAATAAGTAACTACTTAAAAGTTTCATAACCATGCAACACTATTGGCTTTTTTCATTTTGTTTCATTGTGTGGATGTGTCCAAAATGACATCAAAAAAGGGTCAATGAGTTCTTTGAAAGATGATTGCTTTCAATGATTGTACATAACATTTTCCTTTTCCAAACATTTGTGACTCAACCGAAGAGGAAACTTTCATCTCAACTTCCACATCCTCCAACAATGCTGTTCACCCAGTGCATCACCCATCTGTCAACCTACTTTCTTGCAACAGAACTCATCTTCAACACATCCAATCTTCCATTTGCATACAATCCAATAATCCATCCAACTACCACGTAGCAAATTCAGCATAACAAAGCAAACTTACAATTATCACAGCCAAAATTCAACTTAACCATCCAATAAACCGAACTCATCATTAAAAATCACAATCCACAGTGCAAGAATACCAAGATAAATATTTGACCAGATAAAAAAACCAAACCACAAGAAAGAGCAACTCCAAAAGTGTTAAACTTTTCATTTGGTCCTACAGTTGTCCTCATTTTATGTGTTAGTCCTTAAATGAGAAAATCGTAAGTTTTTGTCCCTAAACACTTATGAAACTTAAGCTTTGGTCCCTGACGTTAAAACTGGAGAGAATTTTTTCGCAGTATAAAACCACTACAAAAACCTTCTACAAAAAATACTCTAGGGACTAAAACTAAGAGTTTTCTCGCAAAGGAACTAAAACTTAAAATGAAAACAAGTATAAGAACCAAATGAATAATTTAAACCTCAAAGTAAAACAAAATTTAAAGTAAATTAAAAAAGAAAACGCTGATGAAAAGCGATATACCGGATTTCATGTCAACTCTATCAACCTTGCCGTATCTTCTGAAGAGCCTCTCGACGTCAGATTGACGCGCGTCAAAATCCAGGTTTCCGCAGAAAACAGGCCTCATTTTGGCTTCCCGCGGAGTCGAAGCTTAAAACCCCCTTCGCGCGCGACCTGCAATGCAATGCAAGGGGGAAAATGATCGGAATAGGTGAAATGGAAGGAAAAGAAAACGGTATTCAACGGATCGTGGGTGAGGAAGAAAGAGGGAAAGTGGATCTGAGGTTCGGTGGAGGGATTGGTACCTGGTCGGAGGGAGGGAGGGTTTGCGATAGAAACCCTAGCCGTGAGATTGGGGAAAATTGAGAAAAGCGAGAGAAAGAGAATGAATGAGATGAAGGTAATGAACACGTCAAATCAAAATGCCACGTGGCATCACTATTTGAAAACTGTCGAGCTTGTCTGCATTAATTTTGAATGGATGTATAAGCGGGTATTTATGTCTATTCCATATTAATTATTAATTTTATTTTAGATTGTTTCATTTTTGAATTTTTTAATAATAAAAAATAATATTAAAAATTAATTAAATCTAAGATTCGATGATTAAGCATAATATCATTAATAATTTTTAAATATTTTAAAAAAATAAATATAGGGATACAAAATATTTCAATACTATTAATTTATTATAATGAAATTTTCAAGATGTAATTTTTTTTTAGTTTTCACTTTTAATAGATTATTATATTTTTAAACATCAGAAAAAAGAATTTTTTTAACAATCACTCATAATTATTTTTTTTTTCTTTTTTTCTCTTAATTTAAAAATTTAAACTCCTTTTCATACTAGTACTTAATATAAATGAAATATATGATGAATAACTACTTTTAGTATCTATTTTTAATGAATTATTATACTCCTTATTTATTAAAAATAAGTAAATAAGTGATATTTACAAGATCACCTAATCATTTATTCATTTTATTTTTTATTTTTATTTATAATTGATTATAAATCATGTGAATTTATAAAATTAATTTTAATTAAATATGAATAAAAAGTAATATGATTTTTATTTGAATAACAAAAAATGTCTTGATTTTCTTATTAATTGAATGTTATTTAAAAACTTGTTATTAAAATTGATTTTAAGTGTATAATTATAAATCTAAATAGGTAAAATCCTAAAATTTTCCTATTGATAGTTACTTTCAAATATATGTCAATTTTCACATTTTAAAATCAATTTTAATAATCAAACATGCATTAAATGTAATTTTGAACTTTTTCTAGACATGTTTGATGTGGAATCAAACATGCCTATTATGTTATGTATATGATTGATTTGATTTGATATAAATGATAATTATTTGATAGAAAAGGGGTAAAAGGAAGTAAATTTTATAATTGATTAGTAGAGTGAAATTAGGTGTGAAATAAAAAGAAATTGATATTTTAAAATTATATTTTATATAGTTAAATTTTTATATAAAAATAAATTATATATAATTACCATTTTTTCCTTCTCTATTTATTCACATATGTTGCTATGTAGTATGTTTAGTGTATGAGCATAATGCTTTATCATTCTACCATTTTAAAATATGGTGACTAATTCATGATAGTAATTGTATGAGTATAATGAATTATCATTCTATCATGATGTATTACTCTTTTCTCTTTATCTCTCCCAACTTAGTATATTATGATAAAATTAGGGATGATAATAGATTAGACCTTAAAAATGAAGTCTAGGATTTAACCTCTTTAAAGTTCACCTTATTCTTATCTATTTAATTAAAAAGTTAAATTTATATTTTAATAAAAATATATCTATTTAAAAAGGGTAAGCTTAGACCTATAAACAAGTTTGGTGGAAGGGTAAGGTCAATAAAGCTCTCTCTTTTAAGTCTCCTTAAAAAATATTATATTAATATTTATATACTTTTTTCAAAATTTTATAACTTACAAGTTACTTTTTTACATTCTTAATAATTCACTTTAAAAGGTCTATCTTTAAAAGTTATACAAATATAACTATTTTTTTAATACCTATCTCTAAAGTATTTTTATTTTTTATTGAAAGATATTATTATTAATTAAAAAAAAGCTTTACTTTAAGATTTGTTTTAGACATAATAATATGTTAAGTCGATTTTGCTTATAAAAAAGTTTGTTAGATTTAATTGATAAATCTATTTATTTATATAATATAATAAAAATTAATATACATATATTATAATAATATAAATAAATAAATAAATAATTTAGGATTCACTATCCTCGGTGTCTATAATATTTCGCTGCATACGCTTCAAACGGCACTCCATCATCCAAACTTCAAATTTGACAATTAAATTCCACATGTTTCTTATTAAGTGTTACCTTGTCACCAATATAAAAACACGACCAACCTCTTATGACATTGTACTTGTACCATCCATTTATAGGGACCTATACATAGCTAAAGTACTTTAATCCACTTATCCACCTACCTAATTAAAAACTGACTCTAGGGCTTGGTCTCAATCGAGTCTCCACATTGGAGCTTCCTTATACACTATCAACACATCCAAATTTACCCCTGTCCCACATGCAGAGAGCCAAAAAATGAAAAGAAAAATACACTATTTGCCAAATAATTGATGTAATTTCCAATATATTTTCGTTCAAGGATGTTTATATTACATACACATATACGATTTATATATAGGCACATCCATGTACATATTACATGCTCCTTTGCCCTTTTAAACTCAAATTAACCTAGGCTAGCTAGATGTTCATATATATATGTTACATTACATCTCAAACAGTACACATATAAAATCAACTTGAAAGAGAGTTAATTTTGTAGCCAAACTCTCATGTCCATGACAACAACACTTCCCCCAGAGCCAAGTTCTCTTTTGTATACACATGCAGTGAAAACTCAAAAGTGAAAACGTCCATCACCAAAACATGTAGTTATTCTCTTAAGCTTCCCCACTTGTTTAAATAGGCCAAGCACCTCCATGATTGATTACATATATGAGCAGTACATGTGCTTTCAATTTCACTTTCACTCACTTCTTATTGTAATATGGAGAAGCATAACCATTACAAGGGGATACACAACCGTTATTATAAGGAGAGGCATAACCACTATTATAAGGAGAGGCAGAACCGTTATTATAAGGAGAGGCATAGCCACTATAAGGGGATCCACAATCATAAGGAGAGCCAGTGAAAGTTGGTGGCACAAGCACAGAAGAAGACACCTTGAACCTCTTACTCCTTGAACACTCACTTTCACTAGCATCAGGGCTTTCAACCCACCCCATGAGTTGCTCCAAAAACCCTTGATCACCAACACTAGCTTCCCCAACTTCGGACCCGTCCGATTCCAACCCGATTTTTCCGAACCCGACCCACTCTGAGCTGTAATCAGAAACGCTAGAAGCACTTTCCCAGTTATTAGCAGCAGCAGCACCGTCCATAGGAGGCACAATAACACTAGGCTGCACCACCTTCTCAATGTTCCTCATGTCCCCTTGAGGGATTTGGTAGCTTCTGCGGTGGAAGATGCTGGCAAAGGTGAAGTGGTCACTCACCCTACTCTTTGAGGACTTGTTGTGGTCACTTGCCCTAGCCATGATGTTCTGAAGATTCTTGCTCAGCTTGGCCTTCAATGAAGCAAAGCTCAAACCATGTTTCCCATCAGAACCATTTGGTATGTTAGCTTGGCTAAGTGGTATTGCAAAGTTGGTTCGGGCATTTTCACCTCTCAGAGCCCTTGCTGCTTCATCATAAGCCCTAGCAGCCTCTTCTGGGGTGTCATAGGTTCCAAGCCACAACCTAACATGCTGAGAAGAGTCTTTGATCTCAGCCACCCATCTCCCTGAAGGCCTTTGCCTCACCCCAATGAACCTTCTGATCATGGTTGTTGGTTTGTTCGATCTGGCCACGTTGTTTGTAGCAGTAGTTGTAGCAGAAGCAGAAGCAGAAGCGTAGTTCGTGGCTTCGGATCCTGCCATAGCTAGCTAGCTAGAATAGTATAAAGCCAAAAAGATGAGAATGAGATTTTAGTTTTGGTTTGGGGTGAGTAGTTGAGTATTTTTTAGGAGATGGTGTGTGTGTATGATTGGATAGAGAAAACACGTTGGTGGCTTAAATGATGGATCATACTGATCTATGCTGTATAATGTATTTATATATGTGTGTGAAGTTTTGGAAGTGAGTGGTGTGTGATGTACGAATGTAAGGTATATTCCCATCTCCATTTGTAGTTTGTACGTTTCTTCGAGGTTATAATTTTTAATGTATTTATATTGTGTGCCTCGTGTACTTGCAAGTTGCTCTCCCATCAACTTGGGTGGGTTTGCTATTAGCTTGTGAAAATGCCACCAGTTCATCTAGTGCAAAATGTCACTCTTACTATAAAGTATTTGGAAAGTATTGGATGCATGGAACCTAATTACTCTTTATATGATATATAATTAACTGTAATTAATTTTTGTTCACATGTGGTTATCTTTTAAAATTTTCCTATGACACGAATTTGTATATTGTGTAGATGAATTTCCTTTTCTTTATCTTTTTTTTCCAAATCACAATATTATTGTACCAATCATTTTTATATTTCTCTAAACGTGTATGAACACATTGTGTCGCGAGATAATTTTTGTGGTGATTGTAAATCTGAATGATAACAAATGAGTCATCGATCATTTCCTCTTTGGGATAGCATGGTCAATATCTGCTAAATTCCAAGTTGAACCGTGTTGATCACTACTAGCCACAAAATCATCCAAACTCAATTATTTACAATGCATGCCTGCATTCTGAGCGCAGAAACATATATATATTTATCGGCCAACTTCGAGTAAGCTTACTTTGTAATTTTTGTATTTGTAATTTTGCTTAACTAAATATATACTGAGCTCCATTTGAATTTAGTTGACCATTCGTACTTTAACATTTTGCTTTTCTGTTTAGCTTTATATAAAGCTTACCCTAACATGTACGATTAATTAAATTTCACGTACACGTTAGTACAATTAATCAGACTACTTGAAAAATACGTATTTAAGAATTAGTTTAAATATATTAAATCTTTAATGTAAATCTTTTCCTATAAAATATTCGTGTATATATAATATTATTTAAGTTTGTTTTAATCTAGTCTTGA